CAGTAGCACGCTGTAATTATAAAAATTATGTTCGAAGATTTAAAACTTAAATGAGTACTGAATTCAAATTAGCCGCCTAAAACCATTGAACTAATGACCAATGAGAAAAAAGTGTGAAGGAATTTCGAGATATCGATGCTTTGCGAGCTCGACCTATGTGCCCTTTCACGAATAGGAGAAAGGGGGGAATATATATACCTCATCGAGTCGTGCCGATGTGTTTGACCATTTTAAAGTAGTGAATCGTTGCATGATGGCTTCAAGCTTAATAAATCGACTGAATTTAGCATTGACACGATGTGAACACTTCATTGCTTCGTTGATCGGTCCTAGACTTCCCCCAGGTAATTAAATCAGATACTTCAGATCTTTTCAATTGTGCAGAAAGATGTAAACAGCATGAGATAACCTCATCTCAATAATTTCTCATTTCTACTCATTTCATTCATGTTTTATGTTTCAGGATCTCTATGCAGTCTGGACATCAGTAATCACGACCATCATCTTCAGAATTTTGGAAAATTCAATTCATTACCTTCCTTGAGAGATATCTTAAACGATGGAATTCTGTGGGCTGTCCCAAAACACAGGAGGAGTTTAGAAAAACGAATGACTAGGAGATTTGGTACACCTGGTCTACATTGGAAGATGCTGGTACCGAAGAAGCTTCTCATTTGTCCTACATGTGGCCACGATCACCAGCCCGGTCTTCTTTGCAGTGAGTTGAAAATAAATTGTTCGCCCCTGCAAGCATTTCCCTTCATTACATTCTAATATCGAAATATAGTATATTCTTGAGAAAAATAATTATTGAGGATAAATTAAGTTGGTAATTCCATTTCTTCATAAATTGTAGCAATGTATGATTGTTATTCGTAATTTTAGACAATTGCTACTCAAGAGTAAAAGCTGAGACAAAAGAAATTCAGGAGGCCATCACGCAAAATCTTGGTTTAGAACCAGTAGAGCAAAATGTAATAGTTCTGTACGAAGGGGAGAAAGAGCTGAAGGGAGCTGATTATTGGAAAGAACAGAGGATTGTTGAACTCCCAAAAAAAAGGCCTGTCTGGTTTCACTCCAATTTAATGCAGCCTACTACCCAGGAGCCTGCAGAAACCAACGATGTTAAACCTGACCAATTGGCATAAATAGAAAGCTTGTATTATTTCGTTAATAAACTTTGTTTTCGAGGGATTGCAGATGCCCTTTACAGGAATAAATATCTCCAAAATCGATAGGGAAACGAAATCAGTGCTAAAAACAAACCATTGTTAATTTCTTAAAGTACAGTTCCATTGTTTATTTTATTGCTACAGATTATTGAAATTGTTAATAGGATAAAAAAGGGTAATGAATCATCATTGAGTTGATGGTAATCCTGAAATTCTTGTGGATGATGAAAAATGGTCTAATTATGGTGAATTTTGGGTCATCCTTTCCCTTCTTTCTATAATTTTGTGACGAGCGTCGGATGTCTGAAATTGTTGCTCTCGAATTGAATTGTTATTATGGTAACATTTCGCTATTTGAGACTGATCCTGTAGAAAAGTGAGAGAGCACGTGTTCATGGAAAATCTCAAAGGGTACTGATTTTCCGAAGAATGCTCCACACATTGGACAAATTTGGACATCATCGGGAATTTGGTTGACAGGCCCTTCGACTTTGCCGGATTCTAAGCTCACAGCAGTTGGCAGACTCGTCTGGGTGGTACCGTCCTCTCTGAGGCTGTCATCAGAGTCGAATTGAGTGCCTGTTTGACAAACTTTTTTGCTTGCTGAAAATATTTAATACGAATTCTGTTTAAAATATTGAAAAATCGAATGATCTTGAATTATTGTTATA